TGTGGTGTAGGGACATGAGCGTGTCGTCGTTCTCGATGCTGGCGTGCGGCGGGCTGTGCGAGCAGTTCGTCAACATCGACAACTGCACGCGACACACCATCTGCCAACATCTCAACATCTCGGTTTGTTGTAGTAAGTGAGTCTGCATTATATCACATAATAACACTTCACACTATCCTACACTATTACACATTACAGTAGAACCTCGATAACATCAAAAAATAATATGTTCCCTTCCCATCAGAGCCCAAAATCTCTATAACATAGACCCTTGATAACTTAAAACCTAGACTTAAAATATTTTGTGTTTCCCTTGGACTTTAACTTATCGAGGTTCTACTGCATTTATTTATTTAATTAATTACATTAATTAAAAAAAATGATGACATACAAAATATGTATGTATAGTTCAAAGATTTTGCGTTCCGGAGGCCTCACTAATGTCCCTTTCCCTTTCACCCTCTTATAAGGACAATATGGGAAGGGGAAGTTGATTTGACGGTTGAGGAGACGCCTAGGAAGGAGAAATATTATCTTTATGTGCGTGTCCTCTTCCGTCTTAAAGGTAGATAACGCATCTGCAATTGCGGATGTCTGAGCAGCGGTCGCTTCGCCATTTTGGCGGATGCAGGTGGCCGCTGGCTAATTTGCCACCTTATGTTTATTTTTTTTGTCTGTAAATAACACACTCTTGATACTTGTGATTGAAGGTACTTCCAGTAAATAGTTAACTTATTGTATGAATACAGTTCGCTATGAAGGGTGTAAGTCTGGTGAATACTATTTTATACAACCATTTTTTTTAGAAAAACTTACCCTGTCAAATAACCTATGAATAATGTTGTACTCATTGGACTTTTTATTTTAGTTGAAGACGACCCGTTCCTCAAATGGAGTGAGCCTGGCATCGGCCGTTACTTGTTCATGATGGCGCTCGTCGGTACTATAGCCTTCATTATATTACTTCTAAAAGAATATGAAGTTATAAACAAGGTAAGTGTATCAAAATATTGTAATTTTGACATTTTTAATAAGACTTTGTACTCTCAAAAGCTACATTAGTAGTACAGGATTTTTTTTAATTTAACGCGGACGAAATCGCAAGCAGAAACTAGTCTTTCATAAAATGTCAAAAATATTTAAGATTGTAAAATAGACTAGACATAGGGAACAGCAATTTTTCACCGGTAATTGCTTTGAAAGAAGAATAGAAGTTTTTTTAAGAACTTTCTCTGAAGAGGATGGAAAGGAAAAGTATGCGGAATTACTTCCAATTCACGTCTGTCTTCTGCGTGGTCGTTATTACTGGGGGGGAGTCGTCCCTGCAGTGCAAAGATGTTGCAGGCTCTACCACTGTCAGAATAAAAATCTCTTTGTAAAATGTCGTTAGGTATTTTACAAGGAGAGTCCGCACCGACCTCCGCCTGTGGACCTCAAGGAGGACTCGGACGTGTCCGCGGAGCGCGCGCTCGTGCAGCAACTCACCAGACCCGAGATCGCACAGCATAGCCTCGTCTGCAGGGACCTTACCAAGTTCTATAAAGACTTCCTCGCCGTCAATAGATTGTGCTTCGGTAAGTGTTAAGTATCCACCTATTTTTCGTATATTTGGAAATTTCAATTTTACAATTTACATGCCATTTTTCTATTATTTTTTATTCGTAGCGTTACCTGTGGATTTATGTCATGTAGGCCTATAGCTGCATTTATTTTTATTTGACTTCGTTTTTACTTATTTTCTTATTATGACACTTAATTCTGGCTATATTAAAGTGTTTACAAATACAGTTAGATAGTCATACAATATGCTGTACATAAAATCAGTATCGTAACTTAGATTCATTCTAAATGTACACTAAAGTGTACTTACGTCTCTTACCACTATGTGCGTAGATTTATGAGTGTGTGTATTGTTATGTTGCCAAAGGGATGATGAAGATGATACATTTTTTACATGATACCTAACACTATAGCCTCAAAACCACGTGTCAATATAATTAACTGTATTTAAATTAATTGCCAATATCATCATCATCATCCTCATCCTACTCTCGTAGGGTCGGCGCAACAGGTTTTTGTCCTCCAAATAACTATTATACGTCATGTCAGTCATCACGCCCTTTTGATCATGTTACCTTTCACGCAATCCATCCATTTCTTTCTAGGACTACCTCTACCGGTGTACCTCCACACTCATAACTAAGGAGAATCTTGTAACAAGCGATTCATCCCTCCTCATAACATGCTCATGCTAACAAATTAATTGCCAACATTTGTCATTAAATTTTATTTAAATGTTTTATTACCATATATGCCATTACAAGGGCGTTAGATGGCCTACTAAACTTAATAACTGATATAGTACCTTTCAAAATAGTTACGTGTGAAAAAATGTTGTTTACTATGCCTCGTCTATATATGATGTAAATGTGTCGTGCAGCGGTGCGTCGCGGCGAGTGCTTCGGGCTGCTGGGGGTGAACGGCGCGGGCAAGACGAGCACGTTCCGCATGCTGACGGGCGACGCGCGCCTCTCCGCCGGCGACGCCTACGTGCACGGACTCTCGCTCAAGACGCACCTGCAGGACGTCTACACACATATCGGTATTCTATATTTTTATGCCTTTTCCGATTTGCATATTACAGATGCTTATTATCTAATAAATGTATTTTTGATAAACAAACGTATATATTATTAAGTATATTGAAAAAGGCACTGTCTCATGTAACATTTCCTCATCTATCTCAGGAGCCCAATATTTATTGTATATCCGTTTTAATCTTATTTTTTTTTTATCTTTACCCGAGTCCAATTAAAGATTAAAGTTTTCCATAGAGTGATTTTACGATGACAGCCTAAGGAGGCTCCATTTATCACAAAAAAAGATTACAGAAGACAGGCGTGTAGTAGAAACAAATCCCTGTTTCGTCCGAGTATGGTGCCGGAGGCCTAGTTTTAGTCCCATTCCCTTGCCACCCATTTCTTATAAGGATATCGTTTGATTTAAAAATGACACTGATTATCTTTTTATGGATTTTCCACTCGTGAATACACCATCCCGGTCGATAATTTATTGTACACTAGCTTTCGCCCGTGACTCCGTCCGCTTGAAATAAAAAAAAATAAAAGTAAGTAGCTCATGTATTCTTCCAGGCTATCCTCTACATATATGCCGAATTTCATCGAGATCCGTCCAGCAGTTTAGGCTTTATAATATCAGTATGATATATAATGATACAGTTTAATATTTTCTTATGTTGTTAGGTTACTGTCCTCAATTCGACGCGCTGCTGGAGAAGCTGTCGGCGCGGGAGACGCTGCGCATCTTCTGCCTGCTGCGCGGCATCCCCGCGCGCGTGGGCGCGGCGCGCGCGCGCCATCTCGCGCACACGCTCGGCTTCGCGCCGCATTACGATAAAATGGTCAATATTTCATACTACCTGTTCCCCAACACCTTCATCCGCCTTTACTATTGGCTAACAATCACTAACAATTAATGTTACTATGGAAATCGTGCCGGTCTTTGCTGCGTACGGTTTGTAATTTTTTGTCCCTTTCTCACGTGACTGTGATTTAATCACCTAAATTTAATAGCATAGAAATATACCCTAGACGATCCTAAGTCTAGGGTTTTTATTCAAAACGGAATTATTCAAAAATTTCCTTCATTGTTGACATCCTACATAACAAAATAGTGTGAATAATAAAGAAAGAAAGATGCACCCGCTCCCCAGGTCCCTGACTTGAAATGTGTTAGGGGCATAAGAGAAAAAAAAAGTAGTGTGTCTTTATGCTTTATTATATTAGTATAGATGGTAGTGCATTTGACAAATAATTCACAATGAAACCTTTCTTGAACCCTTATGTATAATATACCATATATACGATCACTATTAAATGTTAAAGTTTTTTTATGATCCAAAGATGCTACCTGTATACATTTCTTTTTCTTAAAAAAGCAAACTTGCCAAAAGGGGGGTTAAAGAGAGTTACTCTTCTGTGCTTGATAACATAATGTAACGCTTATCATTAGGTACATGAATGCAGTGGTGGTACTAAAAGGAAGATCAGCACCGCCCTAGCTCTACTGGGCGACTCCCCGCTCGTGTTCCTAGATGAACCCACTACAGGTAAAATATTGTATTTCGGTACATTTCACCAAAATTATTTGGATTAACAGTTTTTGGTGCGGTACACCTTTGCCATCCTATGTACTAGATATTGTATTGTTGTACATACGGCTTTATTGTATTGTTTACATTCTCATAAACTTTCAATTGCAACAAAATTCAATTGCTCAAATGACGACGAAGACCTTT